CAGACGACCTACAAGTGCTTAATTGATTGCATTTCTGCTATCTCCTGCGGAACTTCACCAGTCAAATTGTTATTGCTTAAATCCAGTATTTCCAGCATTGCAAGATCACTCATTTCCTTCGGTATTGGTCCATCGAACAAGTTGTTGGAGAGTACACTGCAAGTGAGCCAGGTATTGAATTAAAATGTTGTAGAAAACACTCAAATCACATTCAGGAGTAAGATTACAGTGTTACAACTCATTAGCTCTAGTAATTCAAGTAATGGATGCCCCATCAAAAGATTAGCCAAGATCTTATGCTACTGTGTAAACTCCTCAGTTACTCACACAAATGCACAATGTATTCATGTGGCATTTTAGTCTCATTTTTATTTAGCACGGAGTTTAGTTGATATGAACTACACCATTTGATTATGGCCTATTGAAACCAATATTCATTTAATTGGATACATATGCTTCAGATGTCCTTACTGACGGTAATTGACTTATTTAGACACCTGGTTCCTGGAAGACAAACTGAATAAGCTAGTCAAGCATCAACCGATAAAGAATTAATATATTTATCTATAGTAATTTCTCGTTACTAGATCTTAAAGAAATCCAATTCAAAAGATGTCCAATGTATATTCTTTAAAGCAAAGTCAAGATAACTTACAGAGCCCTCAGATGACTAAGACTTCCTAGTTCTGGACCCAAGGTACCTCTTAGTGAGAGATCCTTTAGATTCCTACAGAAAGAGAGTTCATAGTAAGTACAATTCTTAAGATGATAAAGCAACCATTATCCACTCAAAATATGTAGAAACACTGCGGCAATTATAAATGAATCTTATATAGTGAAACACAAGAATCTGAACATGAGTTTTTCTGTAATAGATCATCTTGAGAAGAAAAAATTATTAACCTAGTGAGTCGGAGAATCACCTTAAGGTGTTTTCATGTAAAAATATCAATATTAAGTAGCACTGAAGGGACTACTCCAAAGCTCTATGAGCAGAAAATGATGTCTCTTTTCCTAGTAACTTAAACTTCTGAATGAGATGATTGGTGTATGAAACTCAACCTGTCACACGTCCTGAGGCATTTGATAGCAAATCTTGACATCGAAAGAGTTCAAAGCGCACACAATAGTGCATTTCTGCGTGTGGTGTGAGTGGCAATGTCCGTGTGTGTCTGCCTACCTTGTAATCAGGAAAGAAAAAGGGCTGCTATTGTGCTTGGTTGAAGTACATGTAGAGTATTGAACAAACCTTTTATTTGCTAGACTAATATGTTAGGGATCTAGAACTACGAATGGAAATGTCAGTTTTCCTATTGAATAGTATATAAGCGTGAAGCATGCCAAACAGCATTAGTTTGGCTTTCTTAATGTGCTGCCTAAGAAAAGCTTTCTAGATATGAGCGCTGACACATAAGGATGTTCAATGAACATATGGCCCTACTAAGCAGTCTTATCTAGGCAGATCACAACGTTCAGTTGATGGTGATTATACTTGACCTTCTGCTGAAGTATCAAGCTAACCAATGTTAGCCTCTATTTTGGGCCTCCAATATAATTACAATTTAAAAGAATCAACTAAATTGTTTTAGTCGATAATCTCACTTTATTAGTCAACATCTCCCTGTCACAGAATTGAATGTACCATCTGGCCACTTGTTCACATTGGCTGAGTCAAGAAACCATTTAAATAAACCAAATAATGATATCAACATTATGTTTTAAACTTCCATACAGGCTTCTAAAGGGAAAATTAATTTCTACAGCACATTTTATGGACATTCTGAATACTGTATATGTATCAAAGAAATAAGAATTCAAATCAAAATGGGACGGAATTAATATTGTGTATGATGCTTTGTATTGACTGTTTGGCTGGAAGAGGAGCTGATTGCACCAAGGCCTCCTTTAGAACGCAGGACCATTTTGCACGAATCTAAAGGATTTTCACAAGAATCCGGAGAAATCCCACAGTCCAAAGGAGCCAAGGAGGCTCTGTTACCAAATACAACAAGTCAATCATTGCACATCTAACTTCTCTGGGCTATAAAGTTGATAGATGCTTGTGTTGCCAGAAATTCAACTGAAGCATTGCTGCATTTTCTAACATGTATTCTCAAGTCAAACCGCACATAGATCAGAGGAGAAAAGTAGTGGGGAAGGAACGTCCATTTTAACAATAAATCAACGCAACTCTTCAACAGAATGGTTTTAGTCAAACGGAGGATCATCAAAGAGAGAAAACCTGCTACATTTTGCAACAATGATCCTTGATCGAATGGGTAAACTGCATTTCCAATCAGAATCACTGCACATTCAGAAGAATAAAAAAGGAAGGGCAATGAACTCACAGAATCACCACCCTGCCATCCACGCAGCGGACGCCGTTCCAACTGCAAGGATCGCCATCCCGCTCGCTCCAACCTGCCATGGCGCCATGCGGATCCTCCTCCACCCTCGACTGAAACTTGAGCAGCGCCGACCCTGCAACCACAAGCAACCAAGAAGAGCTCCCAATCAATCACCCACAGACCTAATAATGAACGCAGCCCACAACACCGGCGAGACGCCACCGCCGCCGCCGCCGCTAACCTTCAGTGTTGACCGCCGAGCAGCCATTGACGACGAAATGAAGAACCAGCGCGACGAGCGCGGAGCAACGCAGCAGCGCGTCCACCATCTTCCACATTGCGGCTCGCTCCACGTCACATGATCCTCTTCGCGAGCCTCTTGAGCAGCCTGGAGTGCATGGTCTGATCAGGCGCGAGCAGCAGCAGCAGCAACAGCCATTGCGCCTCTTCCTCCGCGGCGGCGACCTCACTACCCCCTCCTCCTCCTCCTCCTCCTCCTCCTCTCCTGCATGCAGGTGACAGCAGACAAAAAGCTCAGGGACGCCGACAAATAGAGAAACCTTGCATCGCCCCAAAGCAAGGAAGGAGACAGCTTTAGCTACTTTTTCTCTCTGCCTGATTGGCCACCACTGCCTATCTAGCTTACACCGCACGCGATTCGAATCAAGAAACCGAAAAGGAGGATTCGATCGAGAGAAGAAGAGAAGAGAAGGCTGCTCTGCTCACCCGGTGGTTGGGGCAACGGAGGAGGAGATGAGCAGAGAGGAAATGGAGCCCAAACAGCGTTCGTCCGTTCTTGGAGGAACAAGTAGTAGTTGGCGAAATCAAAGAAACGCAACAACACATTGAAATCGATTATAAAATAAAAAAACATCGAAAATTACAAAGAAAAATCACGGTGCAATCTCTCCCATCACCAAGATTGCATTGTTGCTTAAAGAAATAAAAAGCGGGGACGGAATTCCACGGGACAACTGTAGGACAATTCCACGCCGGGAGTACGAAATTCCGGATTAAAGAATTGGATGGGGACACGCGCGGAAGAAGAAGAAGCCCGAGAAGGTCGCTGTCGAGGGGCCTCAGCTTCGCCGGCGACGGATTCGTCGCATTTTAAAAAATCCCTTTCGTGCTCATCATCACACATGGAATTAAAATAGGGTTAATACCCTCCTCCTCCTCACATTGACATTTGTTTAGTGACCAATTGCAATCAGGGGGTCTTAGCGGCGCCAAATGCTTGCACTCGAAAACGATAAACAAAAATAAAACAATCTCTCTTCCATAACGAAGAAGTGGCCAGCAAAACCGGGTCTAAGGCTCTAAGCCTCGATCGATTCATCTAAAGACGAACGAACAGATCGCATTTGGTGGATGGGTAGCTCATTACCGGCGCGCGGTCGGCGTCGCAGCGCCCTCTTCCTTCACGCAGAGGCCCCCCGGCGCGAGGGGGGTTGGGGAAGAGGGCACGGGGAATGGGATGTGGAGGCGGCGGCGGCGGAGGCGGAGGCGGAGGCGGTGGCCGGCGGCGAGGTGGGGGAAGGTGGAGACGTGCGGTGGTGGGGCCCACGAAGGGGACAGGTGGGACGCGCAAAGGAAGGGGAATTTTTTTATTCCTGGTGATTTTTTCCGACGATTTTATTTGATGCCCGGGCCTAGCTGTCCGTCTGTTAGTTTTCCTCTTTTCTTTTTTTTTCTTTTCTGTTTTATTCATCAGTTGCCACTTTGCCAGCTTAATAATAACTTCCTCTTCTGTTGGGGAGACGACGCCGTCGCCGCGCCCACGTCGCGCAGCCGCCTTCGTCGTGCGCGCCATCCTCCTCCTGCTGTCTGATCACCTGTATATATTCTCCAGGAAAAATTTCAAACATCTAACAAAATTAGAGTGTTTTATTTGAAATTCTTACCGAAATCTTATAGTTAATCTTAACATATGTCTAGCCTGACGGAAAATAGAAATATCCACGAAGCTTCAAAAATTTCTTTCTTTATCAAAAGAACAAGAGGGGTACAGAGACACTGCTCATGGAGACTGACACGACGATCAGATGCAACGTTTTCTTCTCCAAAGTTGAGCTAACCTTATCTCGCGCGGTTGGTAGCGCCAATCAGGCGACTGTCGCAAGATGGAGGCTTCAGAGTCCAGACAAGAGGATGGATTCAGACCTGTCCGAACGTGCGAGCAAACAAGTGCCTGGTGTTGGACTACTCGTCAGGCTCGAGAGTTCCCAATCGGCTGCATGCGTAAATTCATTATGCGAGGACATCTATGTGTGTAATTGACCCAGAAATTTTCACACCTGTAGCTCTTCTCCATGTGTTCTTTGGTATACCAGCTGAAAGTATCAAAGTTTTGTCGGAACAACCAAAGAGAACCTAACCAAGCAGCTGACATACTGACATGAGAAAATTGATATCAACATGAGAAACACGGGTAGTGAGTAGCGGAGTAGGTGATGTTTAAAACGAGGCGAAGTGCCATGCATCTCAGGATGACGACCAATTCAGAGTTAGTTACTTCTGCCGATATGCAATCCCAACAAATAACTAGCCCACCAAGCTACATGCATACGATCACTTATCCTCGTAGAATAGTATGATGCAGTGAGCAAACCGATGGATTTGATGATCAAACTTTTTGGAGCACGAACCAAATGACCAATGACCAAACTCTGATTTTCTTTTAGATAATGGCATATTAATATATAGTAGCTATGACGTACAGGGAAGCATCTGCTGATCAGAAGACGCCTTTTCTACAGAGGTGGAAACAGAAAGGAATTCTGTACAGCTACTTATAATATTTTGATACAAAGAATCAGAGTGACCACTTGAGCTTACAAGGTTGTTGAGTTCATGAAGTAGCTTGATAATAATATCCTCCTTCAAGCGATCCCCATTACGGTTCAGCAGATTGAACCAGGACATGGATGAAACATTGCGTATCTTGCTCTCCTGAAAGGTATTGATGCAGGACATCGCCGCCACTGTGTCCCCTTGTCTCAGTTTCAGGCAAAATCTTTCCATTATCATGGGGGCAGGCGGAACTCGGCCATATTGGCACATGTAGTCCCATACATCTTCCAATAACTGCTCCTGAATAGTGAAAGGCAGTAAGGCTAAGAATAGCTACACCAAATAATTAACGAAGCAGTTTAATGGGAAAATGATCATATATCTTGCATTCTATCATTGTCCATAAAATCTGAACTCTAAGCATAGTTCATATTGACAGTAAGCCATAAAATACTGAAGGAATTGGCTCAAATTGTTGCCAAACTGGGGCTAGTACTATTATGCTGTGCTTGTAGTTGAAATTTCCTTTTAAATCTAGTGAGGTTTGTTCTCTCTGAGGGCATAGAAATATAAGCTAAAAGGCCCACATGTATAGATTTCAGAACTACTAAGATCAGTCACCATGCAATCTTATGATCACATACATATGGGGGAAAAACAGCATAATCAAACATCCTCCATTCATTGCAATAACATGACCTATGTTATGAACCAAACATCTTCAACTTCAGATATGAAAGATTATGCACAATGAATATTCTATCCTTATAAGCTACATCTTACGGAGATTCATGGATAGTTAAAGAGTTAGGAATATGAGATAAGCACCTTCCCGTTCCTATATGCATCAAGCACCATACGAAGGTGCCTTCGTTCGTCAAAGTGGTAGCCACTAGATAACATTTTGCGAAATGCATACTCAAAATCATTCCACCTCTTTGCTTCAGCACAGGCCTCCATGAAAATATTGAAAGTAAACTTGTCTGCAATTGCCTTTTGACTCGATTCCACTTTACTCCTTATCCTGCCACTGAGAATATTCTCCAATAGATCTTTTGCATCCTCAAACATTCCATGTTCAGTGTATGACTTCAGCATGATGTTGCATGTTATGTTATTAGGTGAGCAGTATTTGCACATTTCGTCAAATATGTATTTAGCATTTTCCATGCTTCCATTGTCTATACAGGTTTGGATCAGTCCTGTGTAGGTAACAACCAGTGGTTTGTTTGCAACCTTGCAAATCTTCTCGACCTGCATTACAGTTGCCATCAGAAAAAGGTTAAGAGATAAAACAAAGCATCTAGAGGCATGAGACAAGCATAGACAGGTGATGGCGCTTACAGATAGACAAGTTCAAGCTGAGTTCTTATGCCTGGCTGTTTGATAAAGTTTTTTCAGCTTGTTTTACAAAAAGTAAGTTAATTGGATTTGAAGCTCACACCGATAATTATACTGTGGGAACTAAATTCCAGCCTATTGGTTCATCTATCAAAAATATATATGCATATAGTCTCATATACCAACACACAGTGCCTAATTCAACAAGAATATGCTTTTCGCAATTGTGATTATGTATGTTCTATCTAGTGAGAAATCGGGATTAGAGTAAAAGTTATGGTCACGAAAGCAACTAATGACAGTAAAATGCCGATAAATTGTTAAAACCAGCAGAATAACTGCTATCGGTTATTAAAAAAATGAAGAATCAGTTTGCAGCTGAGGTTCTAAGTCCAATATAGAATTATAGATCTACGTTTACTTTTCAAGATGACTATAGGTGGCAAAATGTATTTTCAGTTGCAACAACAGCTACAGCAAGTGTGTCATGTACAAGATATAACTATATTTTTGCAAGTGCAAACCTGGAGAAGTGCCTCTTTGCACCGGCCTCCACTGCAAAGGCACCTAGCAAGGTCATAATAAAGACTGGCAGAACCAACTATTCCACGACTTTCCATACCCTTGACAGCCATGACTGCTTCATCAATCTTCCCTTCTCTCCAAAGAGCATTAATGAGAACTGCAAGCAGCAAGAGATATGAGATATAATATAAAATTTGCCTTCAACTGTTTTCAAACCTTCTTAATTACCTTTATAGTTCAAAGTGCCGGGTATTGACGTTTTCTCCACCTTATTGAAGAACTCGTACACCAAGTTGTACTTGCCACAAACAAGCATTACCTACAGTACCACAAAATTATAACAAAAAATGGATTACGCTGCATAAAGAATTGTGCCAAACATATGAAAAAAAAAATACAATCAATACTACGGAAATCGTATGGAACCAAGTTAAGCAACAGTTTTCCCTAAGACCAACATATGAGCAAAACATTCTATCTGCTGTAGATAGATATAATATGCTTGTCAGAATCCAGGTAAGAGAAACATCGATGCAGAAATGGTCTCTGAAACTGTCATGAGTCATATGTATAGTCCCATGCACGCAGAACACGGTGCAAATTACGTGTTAATTCCATAAAATCATAAAAGATTTGCAGTCGCATTTCTGCATGACCAGCACAGTTGGTTTAGGGGAGGACAGAGAGAATATGTAATCAAGATTACCGTACCTCCATTACAAGACCATATGTTGTATTTGTAGGGCGGATGTTCTTCTCTTTCAACTGTTGCAGAACCCAGAATGCTCCTTCCCATTGCTTTTGTTGCACACAGGCATTCAGAACCTACATAGCAGTAGAGCCAGTTACATTCTACTGAATACTAAATTACCAACAATATTAAACAATCATGTCTCATTGTCATTGGTGCACTCACTTACATAGAACATTTGCTAAAAGTGTCACTCACCGCATTGTACACAATGAGGTCTGGTTCCAACCTAGGATCCCAATTCTGAATAGGACTTAGCTTAAACTTCTTAGGAGGAGAACGCATGCGGTCAATCACATCAAATAGCTCTTTTACAAGACCAGATTGGCCAAGAGTCACAGCAATACAATGATAAGCAGCCATGTCAGGATAAGAAGACAATTGATCCTGCAGATGAAATATAAGGACATCATCTAAATGGAAAGATTAGGTACATCCAAACATAAGACAGATGAGCGCTAGTTATACCAGCATGGTGTAAAATACATTCAATGCCTCAAAAGGTCTTTTTGCCTTCCCAAGAACATCAAGCACTGTTGTATAAATATACCTACAAAACAAATATGTTCTCTCATGAACATCATACGCATTAAATATGATAAGCATTGTAAATCATTTAATGTGATTCTTAAGGACTTACGGGTTACCCAAGAGAAACAAAAAAAGAAACTACAAGATTGAACAAATGAAGAAGCAAACTTATTTCATCACAGACAACTTAGTACACATTATACTCTGCTACATAAACAACAATATAAGTCTATAACAGCGGTAAAAAATGAAATATACATATATAAACTAACACTGCAGCTTTAAGATTCACAATAATATATTAACATATAAATGGGTAACTGTTTCATTACCTGCTCTTGTAGGACTTGAATCTTTCACGGGATTGAAGCCATTCAACAACTTGCAAGACCCGTTTCCAGTTTCCATATCGACCCAGTATTTGAACGACCCTTAGGATAGAGTGGTCAGAGAATTTGATTTTTGCATCATGAATCATTTTGGAGAATTTCCACTCTGGAGTATTTACATCTGTAGCATTCAGCCTTCACAAAATAAATAACCATAAAGAATTAACTAAGACAGCGAAGACTCCATAGGCTCAATGACTTGTCTAGGAAGCAACAAAAAATGTATAGGAAAGCAAGATGCTCATCAACGAATGAAAGTATTTTCTAAGTTCAATCTAGAAGTCCCATTCATGTAATATTGTCTTACATGCATGAAAGAATTCTCCAAGCAAGTAGCATCTAGATAACATGATCACAAAAAAAAAAGTTCACACATAATTTTAGAGTGGGAATTATCGGACAACAGTTTTCATATGCCTGTTCTTGTAACATCTCACTTTCAGGAGCCTGTAAATAAGCAAGTATTGATACAATATATTTGAGCAGCAGTCTTGATAGAAGCCCAGTGTTATTACTCATTATCTATCAAAACGAAATTCATGTCACTGGAAGTACATCATGTAGTTTAATGTGATCAATTAAAAAGAGGTGGTCAGTGTCCTCTTCTATTGGATGTGAACAACGATGGTAAAATTGGTGAATACATGAGTGTTCAAATAGAATCTAGAACGCCCTGAGATTTTCAAACGAAGTAACACTCATGCTAAGGGCTACATATAGGCAACTCCCTCTTGTAAAAAATACTTAATGCCCATCAAACAACCTGCAGCAGAGGCAGTGTCAAGTAGTTTTGATGGGACAGAATACCGTCATGAGTTTTTTTTTTTTCAAATTAGAAGAGGCTATTATGATGAATTTATACAACAGCAAAACCAAGACAACTCAACAAATTCAATACAGGCTGTAAAACCAATCATACAAAGACTTACCGACTAGCCAATTTCTGAATTCTATCTTCCAGTTCCATTTGAAGAACCCGTGGCCTGTTTCTGACATCAGTGAATACCTCAAAAGTCTTGAAAGCAGCTCTATCGTCCAAGTCTATAGCTTTCGCATCTCTCCTAATAAACTTCCCTGTTTGGACATTTTCCCCTCTCTGCATTCGAATTGCTTCAGGTTTTCCACGCTTCAAGCTGACCGTTGGATGACCATCATGCCCAGACGTTGCCTGCCTATTGCCATATCTTTTGCTTACAGTAGCCTTGTTATAATCAATATCACCCTCTCCAAACCTTCCCACTACAACACCTCTCCCTGAATTTTCTGTTGTTTGCTGGTATCTTTGAAATTTATCATCAGCATTGACATCATAGTTGGTAAATTTTCTTTCTCTGGGATATTTGAAATTGTTCTCATATATGCTTCTTGCTGGGCTACTAAAGTTCTCCTTTCCCCTTTTTACCAAAGACTTGGTGTTCTCCAATATAATTCTGCTGTTTGAAGGGCTAGAAATATGGCTTACCATCGAAGTCGACTGTCTTTGCAAACCCTTCCGTGCATTTGACTGAACATGCATGTTTCTCTCTGATTGATGAGCAACCATACTACCTCTAGTATCTTTCATCTTCAACTGCAATGTAAACTGCTTGCGCTCATTTTTATCAACATTACCTTCATCTTCACTAATCTCACCTCGAACAATTCTTCTCTGTACATATTCATCTACCTTTCCCTGTCTTCCCCGACGCTTTTCAACATCACCTGGCTTTTTTTTCTCTACTAACCTAATACTATTGTTCTGAATATCATTATTCGCCATGCTCCTCTCATTCACATCCCCTCTGTTCCTCTGAGATCCCTTTTGCCTATCAAAAGATGTACTCCTTCCATCACCTGACCTCTCGTCCCCTCGCCGAACAACCGGTGCATCGCCATCGCCTGTAAACCTCCTCCTCGAGCTCCTTCCATCCGATTCTGTGCTCTCTAAACTCTTGCTCCTGTCCAACTTCACCGACTCCATGATCTTCACATAGTCGGTGAAAGTCGGGCTAAACGTCAGCTCCTTCTCGACGTGCCGCAACTCGGACGAACCGGGACCAGCCTCGCCGCCAGCCACCGCGCACATAGCACCAAAACCATCCGCTCTCGCGTCAGAAACCCGGCCTCTCCTCGCCAAACCCCAACCAAACGGCGCCACGGAGACCCTCCTCCTCCTCCTCGTCGGAACCACGAACCCGTGGCACGCGCTCGAATCAGGCGCCGAGGCGGGGAGCAAGACCCCGCGCCCCGCCAGGTTGGGAATCAGCCCCACCGTCGCGCTCGGCGGCGGCGCCGCCATCACACACACACACACACCACGAGGTTTCGGCCGCGGCGTGGCTACCACATTCTCCGCCGGCGGAGCAACTCCGAGCGAGGTAAACCCCTTCCCAACCGCAAGAGAAACGCACGGCGAGTGCTGGTCGGAGCGCCGGCGAGGCTCGAGCTGGTGGGTTGCGGGGAGGAAGGAGCGCGAGTACCTGGGGAGTTTGCGCCGCGAGGCCTCCGCGTTATCTCCTCCTCCGCCGGTGCCCGGTGCCGTCGTGGCGCTCCCTCCGGTGGAGCCCACTTTGTGTAGTGTCTAGTGCAGCGAATATATTTCCGCGTACGGGCCGGGCCGGGCCGACAATCTATGCGTTGTTGGGCCTCCAAAGGGTAACTCACCAAGGTGTGGCCGAGCCAAGCCGAAGACAAATTTGGGCTTAGGCTGCTCGTTCACTGAAGAAGATTTATCTCGTTATTCATCAGCGTTCTAAATTACTATATGGTATGTTTTTACAGAAAAAGTTATATAAGAAAGTTACTTTAAAAGATCATACAAATTCAATTTTCTAAGTTAAAATCCTCGCAGACAAATTATAGTTAAATAATTAATACTAAATTAATCACATACTAATCGCTCATCTCATTTTACACATCTTCTCTTTTCCCCTCCCCTTGAACACTCTTAGTTTGGCAAAAATTGACAGGCAGAATGTGCAGGTGCACAAAGAAAAATGCCGCCGACAAGAAAAATACAACATATATACTCCATTTATTTGCAAGCTGATGATTTTAGCCAAACATGAGCAATGGAGCGAAGGCAACCGTAGGTAGTTTGGACTTGAGCCCTAGCCACGTCTCCATAATCATGAATTATCTTAAATTATTATATAATTTTTTGAGAAAATTAATATCCTATTAGTTGAGTTCTACTTTAGCCTCATGCTTTAATAATTTCTAATTTCGTCACTCACAACTGCCAAAATTTGATGTAGCTACCATACCTTTGTCAAATCAAGGAACAGGAACACTGGGATAGTTTCCCCACAAAAAAAAAAAAACACTGGGATAGTTTCATTAGCCTTTTTGTGTGCGTGTGGCAAGCGTAGATAACAATTGGGATGTGGATCATCTGCAGTACTGCTGAAAGCAATAGTAGTGATTTATGTGGGAACCCGAACCCACATGTCAGTCACTCTTACTGCATTAGTAGTACTACGGACAATCTCCACTGTAACAATTGGCATGAAAACAAACAGCCCACATGTTTTGAGATCTTTTCCTTTCAGCTACTCTCCTCTTCCAACAAAGTGGTCGCCGCTCGGCGGGTCTTGCTCGTGCAATTGATGAAGCTCTCTCTATCTCGCAGGTACAGCTTATGGCCCATGCCTTTAATTGTCACTTCGAAGAAAAAAAATTTACTTCTAACTCGATTGAGGAGCATCTCCTCATTAGCAGGCTCATTAGCAGGTAGGAGTATCTGGAAGCTATCCATTGCATCGGCTTTGCGATGTCCTGTCCATTTAAAGGGAGTAAAGGTATGCAGTTGATGCGTTCCTCTCATCATTTAAAACGGAACAATGGAGAAAAACTCCAATTGAAGAAAAAAAATGCAGAGATAGATGGAGATAGGCTCGTCGAATGTCTCAAATCATATCTGACCATCTGCAAGTGTGTGTTTCGTGGAAGCTAAAATCCGAATCTTAGTTTCTTCTTGGGAAGAAGAGAAGGTTCCTTTCAGTCAAGCAGGGCGAGAAGAGGGGTGAGACCTGCACAGAACGTCGTGCCGTTGCCGTCGTCCTGGCTGCGTTCTTCGCGTGATCGTGCGCTCCCCGCATACAGCTAATTCTTCTTTAATGTCCATCTAATTCTTCTTTTCTTTTTCGGGGAATGTCCATCTAATTCGAAACAAACGTGTAGCTGAACTGTTTGATTCGGCGCTAGTTTTTCTTAAAAACTTTTTTTTAGCTTCGTTGACTGAACTTACTGCATAGCATGTAGAGATTCAGAGTTCTCGCCTCATCCACATCACATCACCACTAGTAGCTCATAGTATTAATAACCACTTTTTTTATGGCAATTGCTCTAAGACGATGACACACCTAAAACCAGATTGAGCCAATATAGTACACCGCAAAAACGATATGCATTTTTCCTAAAAGAAAAATACAGTATGTATTTGCTCCCTCCTCCCTGCACACAGCACACTGTGGGAGCAATTTTGGGTAAGCCCGGCGAGAAACTTTTCAGGAAGTCTAAGGAGCCGTTGGAGGGAGCGGTTAAAATTAGCTTTAGACCCTATTTAGATGGTACTAAAACTGTTTTAAGTCCCTATCACATCAAATGTTTGAACACTAATTATAAATATTAAATGTAGACTATTAATAAAACCCATCCATAATCTTGGACTAATTCGCGAGACGAATCTATTGAGCCTAATTAATCCATGATTAGCCTATGTGATGCTACAGTAAACATTATCTAATTATGGATTAATTAGGCTTAAAAAATTTATCTCGTAAATTAGCTTTCATTTATGTAATTAGTTTTGTAAGTAGTCTATATTTAATACTCTAAATTAGTGTCTACATATAGGGACTAAAGTTAAGTCCCTGCATCCAAACACCACCTTATAGTTGCATGTAAAATAAGATGAATCATCAATACATAATTAATAAAAAATTAATTATTATAGACTTGAACTTTTATTAAAAAATCTTTTTAAATAAACTTCTATACGCTATTTAACAGTTTGGGAAGCGTGCTTATAAAGATTGAGCAAGTGTATCGTTGTAAATTGCATAGAATTCATCCTAAAAATTTGAGCGTCAAAGTTCAAATGTAACATATCCTATGTACACAAGTTTCTCGTACACATTCGTGCACACCAACTAGCAAATGTCACGAAAAATTCTAAAAAAAATTGGATATTTACTCGTAATAGTATTACACGTATCCCCAAAGTCTCATATTCAAATTCATTATATTTTAGCCATAAACAAATGAAAAATCTAACAGTTTAAAGATAATTATATGTCAGAATTTTGTCTTTTTTAGGCTAAAATATAATGAATTTGAACATAAAATTTCACATATAGCTGTAATGCTATTTGAAGTATGTGTCTTTTTTTTTATAGAATTTTGTGTAACATTCATTTGTTGGTGTGCACGGAAAGCTTTTATGCGTAGGATATATTCCCGAGTTCAAAACATTTAGTATTTGTAGCATATATTTACTTTTTTTTTCTTCGGAAGAAAATTGACGCGGCAAATCCTGCAAGGGGGCTATATGCTGCAATTTTTTTCCTTTATAATATGTTTATGTGACCTATTTGTTTATATAAGTAATTTACAATAATTACGGAGGGTATCGTGCGCATTTCATAAAGAACATAGATACAATCATGCAACCACAATGGATGGAGATGTGCACTTGCAAATATCTGTTGAAAATAACCATCATACACAAACTATGATTATACGTACTACGACTAATGAAAGTTTCATGTTTATGTTTAAGATGTAACACGCCTTGTTACTACGATATCCTTTTAAATATTATTAGTAAATTTATTGAAAAAAAGACAATTGATCAAAGTTTACATATAAATAGCACTTCGATGACATGTATTTACAAACCTGTATACAATATTCCACAACACATATTGCATTAAGTCTACTTTTTTTATGTGAGCAACATTATGCTGGAACATAGAAATGTTAACTAGTACTATGTCTGCAAAATTTAATCATGTATTCATTCTTTAAAAAAAGGAAAATGAACAAGAGTTGATAAATCTTATATTATGAACATATATTCTAAAAATTCAAACTCTACCTGTCGAATGTATTCATACATTTTTTTTCTCGGGATCAAATCCCAAAAGGTGAAAAGTAGTACTTTTCTAATTTTAAATATATGACATTATTAACTTTTAAATATGCCGTATAATTATTTGTCTTATTAATTTTAGCGCTTATGTTCTTGCAATAATAAAGCAATTCATGAGAAAATAAATAAAATATAATTTTTAATAATACGAATGGTTAAATCATCAACATCATATATTTAAAAAGGGACATGACACGTGTAATCCTATTTAGACGCGCATCATAATATATTTACACGTGTGCGTGTGTATGTGCGGCGATAGAGTGTGTATGGAAGGTGTACTCCGAAGATAAAAATCTTAGTAGTTTTTTAGTATAATAAAATCTATTTCAATAAATGCTCTCTACGTGTAATAAGGAGTATTTGTGCTAGCTGAAAAGGACATTTTTATAACCATGATGCTTGAGAAAAAGAAGGAATTTATCTACACACTTGGGGGTGTAGTCACAGTGCTTGTCTGCTAGATCCACTTTTCCAGACAAGTACTCCATTCCATTTTCCTCTCCATCGCGGACGCGGTTTTCCAGTACAAAAACCAAAAGAAAGAGCCCCGCGACCTAGTGGAGAGGCGGTACACTGGTGGTGGTGGGGGTGGTGTGGTGGGGGACGCGACGCGACGAGATGCCTCGGGAGACGCCGCCGCCGCCGCCGCCGGAGGGCGGCGAGGTGCACGAGGTGGTGGAGGGGGAGGACGGGCAGGCGGAGGACCAGGAGGAGAGGTGGGCGCGGCTGCTGCCGGAGCTGATGTCCGAGGTGGTGCGGCGCGTGGAGGCGTCCGGGGGCGAGCGTTGGCCCGCGCGGAAGGACGTGGTCTCCTGCGCCTGCGTGTGCCGGCGGTGGCGGGACGCTGCCGTCGCCGTCGTGCGGCCGCCCGCGGAGTCCGGCAAGATCACCTTCCCGTCCTCGCTCAAGCAGGTGAGGAAAGGGGGGGGGGGGGGGTGATGCCCTTCTGCTGTTTTGCTAAGAGCTCCTATCCCTCGATTGATGGGGGCTTCTGGCCGCTGATTCGAAGTATGGTGGTAGGGAGTGGAAACCCCCATTACGTCGATTTGTTTTAGCAGGTGTCGTTCCTAGATGCGATTTGTTATGTCTCTGGTTGGTGATTTAGAGAGTCCTCTATGCTTTTGATTGCTAAATTTGGAGCCTGCGTCTTTAGGTTCCCTCAGTTCTGGCCATAGGATGCTGAGATCACTTGCTCATGCTATTTTTAGAGGATTATTTAATTTTTGAGGTTTACAAATTTACCTTTTTTATTCGCGATGTTTCGTGGGATTAGTTAATTTGTTTATGTCTAGTCCTAGCTATTTGTTTTTGGAGTAAGTTAACTTTCAATCGATTTTGATACTAGTATTTTTTTTTATAAGAGTTTGTGGATTTAACTTAAAACTAGGCTCGGGAGCAACTAGATTTAGTTAGTACAATGGATGATTTATATCGCACTTGTTCTTTTTATGGCTTTGGCAAAATCACCACATCGTTGGTAGATAGCAGTATAGCACACTGGAGGCTTGGAAGGAAAAACAAACCCGAGGAGGGTCGTCCGCTATGAATGAATAGTTGGAAAATCTTATCACCAGCAGTTTGAATTTTCATGCTTTTGGCTACAGATTTGATGTTAGGACCATATTCCAGCATGTATATAGTCTAGCTTTACTTAGTCCCGTTCTAAGCTCCAACAACATCCAGATTTTTCCTCGATTTCCGTTAGCACGCTTTTCAAACTGCTAAAGATTGTATTTCATGCAAAAACTTTCTATATAGAAGTTGCTATAAAAAATCAAATAAATCCATTTTTTAATTTTTAATAATTAAAACATCATTAACCATGCGCTAATGAGTCTCGTTTTACATGCGCACTTAATCTTCATCCAATAATCAGATTCGAACGGGGCCATATGTGTTTAGCTATTTACTATCCTATCACACAGAGGGTGATTTCACTTATAAGTGGGAGTTTAGTGGCTGAAATTCCCCATGAGATGAGTAGCATAGTTTTGTTTTGGGTGATTCGTCTACGTAGGATTTTAGTTGCAGTCTTGCAGAGGAGTGTCGTAGTTTTGATACACAGTATTTGTATGCAAATTAATCGGAGTTCTTACACCTTTTGTCAAGCAGCCAGGGCCAAGGGAGTTCCCAATGCAATGTTTCATTAAGCGGAATAAGAAGAACTCTACGTTCTACCTCTACCTTGGTTTGACAAATGGTAAGTGTATGACTGTACGTGATGTGATATGAGAACTTCCTTGACTCTCATTTATTTTGTGCTGCATATGTGCAGGCATCAATTTGATTATGTGCATCTAGATAATCAATTTGATTTGCCATCTCAATGTAAGGCATGTGACATGCTGTTTTATGATTGCTGTGCGGGTTCTGTTTTTCTTGGAATTTGTTACTTGTCTGTGGTTGACACTTGATGCCTAGCAGTAGTCAAGTTGAATGCTTTTAGATTTAACTCAAATTCGTTGTGGCTTTAATTGGAGATGCATCGCTTGTTTCTCCTAGTTGATGGCTTGATGTTGACCTATCAACTTTTGGCATGGGCAGTCCCATGCACATTTGCTTCCTGGCTTTCATTTTTTTTCTATAGATTCAAATTATCTGTCAAACCAGCAGAAATGCACAGTATGTTTGCATTCTAGGACCATGTGATATTTTGCATTTGGATCTTTTGGCATAATTGGTATGGGATGGTGGGAGGATAAGGTGGAGGATTGGAGCACCTAATGGATTAGAACCTACAGCATTTTACTTGAATTAGGAACTAATATTGTTTTGTACCTGCCTATTTTTTGTGAAACAACTGATAAGAAATTGATAAGAGATGCCCCTTCGGGATTATGTACTATGTTATGTCCTCATGGGCCAATGGGCCTAGAATATATGGGCCCGAATATACTTAACACTGTTTATTTATTTGGATTGGCTAGTTTGGACATAATTGTTGAAGGGTTTAGCTGAATTATACCAAAGTCTTCGTGTCCTGCAAATAGTGATTAGGGTGACTGGAAGTCTACTTGTTCCATTACATTTGATGGCCTGCTTAGTCAAGTGTTTTCAAATTTCTTTTATTTTGACAATCAGATCCAACAGCACTCAAATTATGTATCTAGAAGCAACATTTTTCTCTCCTTACAGGCTTACACTCAGCTGTTCAAGTGTAACATCTAACATGTGCGGATATGTGTTTTTTTTAAAAAAAAGAAAAAGAAAAAGGATGGGGGTTCTGTCAGTTACACCGTATATTTTTCCTTCTGGTTTTTGTACCAACTGCAATGCCATATGGACTTTTTCACCATCAAATGTGCTTGATGATTAATATATACTTTTTGTATATGATAGCAACTGTGGATAAAGGGAAGTTCCTCATGGCTGCTAGAAGGTTTAGACGTGGTCCCCATACCGAGTACATCGTATCCCTTGATGCTGATGACCTTTCACAAGGAAGCAATGCATACATGGGGAAACTGAGGTGAGGTTCTACATGGCTGCATAGTTCACTCTTAATCATTCTTGCATATTCTGTTATTCATCCTGCTTAGTGCTAACAAATTGGTTGCAGTAATATATTTACAATTAGGGAACATGCTAATGCACTAAAAATATGTATTTAGCTGATCTGCAGATGTTTTTTTTTTAAAAAAAATTGGGTACCCATACCATAAGACAATATAAGCCTTCTGAGTTCTAAATAGTATCTGTTTCTTTACTATCTTGTTTTTCAATGAGGTATTGGACTGTTTTATAGTTCAAATGGTACTCCCTCGTTTTTTATATATGACGCTTGTTAGTTCAATATTGAATTAACTAACGTCGTATATATATAAAAAGGAGGGAGTATATCCTTATGTTGTAAGATTGAACCCCTTAACATGGTGGCATGCTGTGATGCCCCAAGGTCTGAACTGGTTTTAAGTCTATAATCTAAATTCTAACCCCATTTTGGATAGAGTACACACTCACACCAACACACTTGCACTTTCATCCTTTGTGTTCGTGTTCAAGGGTTTGGTTGATACCTTGGACTTTTTCTGTTTTGAGGGATTGATACCTTGGACCTGGTAAGCCTGCAAAAGTAGGCCTTGTTTGGGAAAGACCCGGCCCATCCCCTGGGATTTTAGCCTTGCCAAACAAGGCCACAAGGTGGGACTAATTCACACCCTCATGTGTGGACTTACTCAAACCAGGGTAGGGTGTCACACATGCCTCCTCCATTCCTTGATTTTGTGGTTTGCAACAGTAACAGTCAACATGAATCATAATCCTTGCAATTGACTGCCGAAGTACTTTGCATCCTCATAAATTGCACTTAAAACTGCCGAATGCTTCTATTTTGTCTTAGCCTTTACTCTTTGGGGAGTTTTCAGGCTCTTCAGTTTTTATAACTTCTCTTGTTCCTTTATTTGTGCTCAAAAGTATTTCATTTATTTCCTTGCAATTGATTGCTGTGTAAGTCTCACGGCAGTTCCTTTGAGACATTATTTCACTGTCCTAGATTAGGTTATGGCCTTATTTGATTTGATTCCCCTTATGGTGTGCAGATAATTTGGACTGGTTGGGTATCTGTTGTGTTTTCGTGCTTGTATTGGATTTTTGTTGTCTTAATTTTTATTCATTGGTATTATTGTGCTTCTGTTTAGATCTGATTTTTGGGGGACAAACTTCAAAATATATGATAGCAAGCCACCATATGATGGCGCTAAAGCATCAAGTAGTCGATCCAGTCGGCGTTTTGGAAGTAGAAGGATAAGTCCCCAAGTGTCAGCAGGAAACTATGAAGTTGGACAGGTTTCCTATAAATACAACCTGCTCAAATCCAGAGGTCCTAGGAGAATGTATTGTGCACTTGAGTGCCCTTCAACTCAAGAGACATGGGAAAACTGTCTAAAGACGAAGTTCAGAAAACCCACAGGGAACACAGTTCTAAGAAACAAAGCTCCCCGCTGGCATGAGCACTTGCAGTGCTGGTGCTTGAACTTCCATGGGCGGGTGACAGTTGCATCTGTCAAGAATTTCCAACTAGTTGCTGCTGCTGATCCCAATGATCCTGCTAGCTCGAAGGATGAGGAAACAGTTCTGTTGCAGTTTGGTAAGGTCGATGACAATATCTTCACGATGGATTACCGGCAGCCACTCTCAGCGTTTCAAGCCTTTGCTATCAGCCTCAGCAGCTTTGGTACCAAGCTAGCTTGTGAATAGCAACATAGTTTGATGTCCTCATATTGCCATCTGGTTGTGGTTGTGGATGCATGCCGTTGTGGTTGTTCCCGGCATTTTTCTTCTTTCATTTCTTTCCTTTTTACTCTGGATATCAAGGTACTATTCATATCCTGTTCTTGTGCGGGAAATGTACCATTTTACCAAATGGATTTAGCTCCGAGAAGGAAATTGTGTTGTAAAACTTTTGCTTTTTAAGTGAAAGCAGAAGGCAGTCTGTTGTACATAAGTTCTTGATGAAGTGATGATACCTTTTTTACTTTTGGCTGGACATTTACTCCGTACCTGTATGAATAGATTGGCTCGCTTATTTCTGTCTTTCTGTTATGGCTGTGTTTAGCTCGTGTATCAAATTTTTTTAAGTCGAATTTATTAAGCCTAATTAATCTATTATTAGTAAATATTTACTGTAGCATCATATTGTTAAATCATGGCGTAATTAGGTTCAAAAGATTCGTCTCACGATTTACATGTAAACTGTATAATTAGTTTTTTTTCCACATTTAATGCTCCATGCATGCATGTCTAAACATTTGCTGTGATAGAAAAATTGAAAGTTTGAATTTAAACACGGCCATGTTATCTCGCGTATAAAGGTGTCGGACTGTCGGACCATGAAATTGCACAAGCTTGCTGTAAGACGTCAAAGGACCATACAGGCAAACTTCGGTGATTGTGTGAACAGTGCCTCTCCTGAATGATTTAAGAATATTATTACATCTGAATTAATAGAAGTACTAAGAATTACTTCTTTCGTCCCAAAATATAAGAGATTTTAAGTGGACGTGATATATTCTAATACAATGAATCTAAACAGATGAAATACTTACTCCGTCCTAAAATATAAGGGACATCACATTCACCTAAAATCTCTTATATTTTAAGATTTTGGGACAGAGAGTATTCACTTTTAGATGTGGAATGTTCGGCACAATTCGTTCTATTTGCGTACAAATATGTACTAGTGATTGCAGACAGTGGGGATTAGTACTGGTTAATTTAATACAGAGTGTATGGTTTTGGTCCCAGGTACTGTAGAACATTAGAAGTCAGAAGTCCAGCATGCGTGGTTGGAACGGTAGGCTATTTCCACAGAAAATGAAAGCGACGAGATGAAGTGATGAACTAACGGCCATACTTTTCCATGTCAGAATGAATCGTAGGCAAACACGTTAGACCCAGGATCAAATACTCACCCCTAAAACGTGGCAGAGGTTCCAGGCAAAAAGGCGCTGCTCCAACGCATCGAACAAAAGAGAGATTAAGCTAGAAAAGGCGATCAGATCATCATCATCATCATCGAACTACATATCTGTAAGACTAAAGAAAAAAGGGTGTTGCTACAAAGATGTACTAGGTGATCATCAGTCGGCGGAGCTGGCTTTCCCGACCTCCGCCTCCAGCGTCTCCATCTGCTGCTCCAGCCACCTGAGCCTCTGGTTCATGCTGTCCAGCCTCTTCCGCGCCGCCTCGTCTGCCATGCCAAGACGCACCCAAAAAAAGAAGAAAAAAAAATCAAATTCCTCAACCATCCATCCATTGGTTACAACTTACAAAATGCTTTCGCTACTCGAGCGGAGGCTTCGCACATGCCTAGCTGCGCGACGAATTGCGACATGGCCACCTCCTGCCCACCGTCGGTGGCGGTGAGGCCGGCCTGCGGCGGCGGAGGAGCCGCACGCGGGTCCTCGGCGTGGGGTGGCAGCTTGGCCGACGACGATCCCCCTCTCTTCCTCCCGAGCATGGCCATAGCTCGTCTTAGCTAGCTTGACCGTACCGATCGATTGATCGCGCGAGGGTGGGTGGCCGGCCGGCCGGCGATAAGCTTGCCACTGGCGAATGAATGAGACGGAGCTTGTTGCTGGAGGCGACTGGGAGACGTGCTGATCCCTCCGGCTAGCTAGCTAGCGGAGGCCCCCGCTTATGTACGTACGACACGCGCGGCGCACGGTCAGACTTGGAGGAGGGGTTGGGCCGGAGGCTCCGCCTGTGGCCACATGTATGTGCGATGCGGGTCGGGACTGGGGTCGCGCGCGCCCGCGGGGTCAAGCGTCTCCGGTCGAGCGACACGGACACGGTACGACGACCGAAACCCAATCTCGTCGCGGTGGCAGGCTGGCAGCTACTACCGCTCCCTCTATACTTACAAAATATAAATATAAACAAACCTAATAACGTATGATATTTTATACTCTCTCTGTTTAATATTATAAGTTATTTGACTCCTTTTCCTAATTAAACTTTGATAAATTTGATAAAGTATATCAAAAAATTTAACAATATATAAAATATTAAATTAGTTTTATTAAATTTAGCATTAAATATATTATGATAATATGTTTATTTTTATGTTAAAAATTCGATTATATTTTCTATAAATTTAAATAAATATAAAAAAGTTTAACTAAGAAAAATCAAACGACTTAATATAACACAGATAAAAGATCGCACAACGGGTCGCACTGGACAGGAAGGCCAGGGCCGAAAGATTCCCGTGAGAAATGGATAACCGTTTACGCGAGATTCTCCGGTCTTTTTACGTAACCGGCCGGTCGAAAGGGATCGCCTCACGTGAACGGTCACAGCCTCACAGGTGCGTATAGTAACCACGCAGTTGCGCGATTGCTTAGCCTTCAGGTTTGCTGACTTGCACGTCTGTACGTGTAGTAGAGCGTGAACAAACGGACGGACGCAAATCATCCGAGGACAAAGTGAAGTCATTAAGCGAAATGAAATTAAGATCGAGTTTACACTGGAGTATAAACGGAGCGAAGAACAAACAAAGCTCGTAGAATACGTCCTTGAGATGGATAGTAGTGGGCTAGTGGCACGGTGTGTCAGTGTCAGGTTTACCAAATCTTCTAGATGGGGTTCTCGTCACATCATGTTTGATGGTTACCGCGATAAATATGTGACTTGTGGTTACCGTGAGTTATATAGTGGTTTTAAAAACTGAGAATGTTGCAATACATAATAACCGCATGGTTTTTTAAACTCTTATTAGTGGATTCCCCTGCCACACCCGTGACCCGGAAATGCGCTTCTCCGTGTGGTCACTGCCTCACGCTGGTCATCGGCTCATCGCCTTGCCATGCAAGCTAGTGCACCTAGACTTCATTTATTTTGAAGCTGGAAATTAACAACCAGTTTTGGTGATTAAAGGTAAAGCTTATACTACCAAAACTGTATAAAGATAGTTATTCTCTGCATTTCCCCTGATTAACTCTAACCTCAATAATGGTGGAACGTATTATTCAGGGTGATTTTTGCCTTGTAACCTTACTAGTAGTAGTACTTGCTTGACGTATATACAATTTGAAGATAACTCATGTACATGTAAATAATAAACATCCATACGTCGTCATTTGAAATCATGTGACAGTACTCCGCAAAGTTCAAATAATACTAGTATCAATCGAGGGCTGTGTTTACACTACTACAAAAGTGATTTTTCCGTACGAGACCCTTTGATTTTTACAAACGGACCATAACTAGTGGCGTCTACAAAAAATCGTAGGTTATTTTTGCATGCGGCCTCTTAAGTGGCCCGTATGGAAAAATCGATTTTCCCATACGGGCCTCTTAAGACGGCCGCATGCAAAAATGAGCTCACTTAAGCGCCCGTATAGAAAAATCCACTTAAGGAGGCGTATGCAAAAATAAAAAATTTGAAAAATTTAAAACTAGTGTATCTCACTTATATGAACTCCAAATTAGATGATTTTTTTTCTAAATGTTTCTAAGATCATGCTCTACCATGTTATTGTGTTCTTACTGCTATTATTTTGGCCATTTTTTTCTTTTGACTTTATTTTATCAATTAAAATTTTGAATTTCAAAACTTCAAATAATATTTTGAAGCAGTAATTGATTTCAACTGAAAAAGTCATCAACAACAAAGTTGTATAACTCATCAAGATATATAACTTCTATTTTAGTCATTTCTTCATCCGATAAAGATATTTGTAAGATTGTTTACAAAATATATATCTCTCTTATAGTTTTATAAACTATATAAGAGATATGTACATTTTGTGAACAAATCACTTTGTCGGATGAAAAAATGACCAATATAAAAGTTATAGATCTTGATGATTTATACAACTTTGTTATTGATGATTTTTTCAGTTGAAATCGATTAGTATTTGAAAATGCTGTTTGAAGTTGTTATAATTTGAAATTCAAATTCAAACTGTTCAAACAAAGTCATATAGAAAAATGACCAAAACAAGTTATAGATCTTGATAATTTATACAACTTTGTTATTCACAACTTTTCCATTTGAAATCATTTATTGCTTCAAAATATTATTTGAATTTCTTATATTTTAAATTTCAAATTTTATATAGCTCAATCAAACTTAGATGGAGAAATGACCAAAAGAAAATTGGTAGATCTCAATGATCTCTACAACTTTGTTTTTGACAACTTTTTCACATGAATTCATTTAATACCACAAAATTAGATTTAATGTTTATTTTTATCTAAAAGTCTGATTTGCCTCCTCGCCCTCTCCACCACTTCAAAATTTCAGCAGCCTTATCTCCAACCTTATCTTCACTCCACCATTATTTCTCCTCAACTCCCTCTCTCTCTCTCCCCCTCACACACAGCAAGGTCGCGGCGGGGTCAGCAACACCGAGGAGGCACGCGGGGGCGGCGGCCGAGGGCGACATGTCGCGAGGCGGCGGCACGCGGCGGCGGCAAGGAGGCACGCGGGGGGCGGCGGCCTAGGGCGGCACGGCGCGAGGCGGCGGCCGAGGGCGGCACGCGGCGACGGCGGGCGGGAGCGGCCGCCCGCGTGGATCTGCCGCCTCTACCTCCCTCCGTCGTCGCTGGCGACTCCCCCGCCCTCCTCCAACGCGGATCCGACGGCGGCGCCCACCCCCGCGGCGACGACGACCTCGGGCAGCGGCGCCACCGCCATCCCCTCCTCACTGCTGCAGCGACGGCGACCTCGGGCGGCGCCGCCCCGCGCGGATCCGGCGCCAAGGGCGGCGGGGGTGGCCGATCCGGTGCCGGTGATGACGGCAGGCGGCGGGGGCGACGGATCCGGAGCCAGCGACGACGGCGGGCGGCGGGGGAGACGGATCCGGTGCCGGCGACGATAGCGGGCGGTGTGAGCGATGGATCCGGTGCCGGCAACGACGGCAGGCGGCGTGGGCGACGGATCCGGTGCCAATGACGCCGGCGGGCGGCGGGGGCGACGAATCCGGCACCGTGCGGCGGCGGTCTAGGGTTCAGGATTTTTTGAATTTTTATTTTTTTTTGTTTGCTGAATTTATTTTCGCATGCGGCCCGTATAAGCAACCGCATGCGAAAATGGGATTTTTGCATGCGGATGGGCCGGCCGCATGCGAAAAGGGTGATTTTTACAGACCTTCTCCCACATGCGGTTGCCCCAACCGCATGCAAAGATGCTTTTTGCCCGTATGCAAAAAGCCTTTCCGTACTAGTGTTAGTTCACGCTAAAATTGAAAGTTTGGTTGAAATTGGAACGATGTGATAGAAAAGTTAGAAGTTTATGTTTGTAGGAAAGTTTTGATGTGATAGAAAAGTTGGAAGTTTGAAGAAATATTTTGGAACTAAACACGGCGGAGATTATATTCCACCTGATCTGAAGATTTAGACAAATGTAAAGTAGACTTGTTTCATTACTGTATAATAATGATAAGGTCATACGAGGAGGGATGTGCACTGTACTTGGCCTGAGTAGATCAAGTCCTGTTGCGTCACTGCATGCGCATGGTCACGGCATCTTGAGTTGACTCAGGTGTTTATATGGGAGCACCTTTAATTTCTTCAGTGTTGCTCAGATTGGATCTAGCGTGGGTTCCTGCATCTATAGAGAGCTACAGAAAGAAAGATGGCCCTAAGCTAAAATGGAAAAACTAAAAAAAGAGCCAGGGCAGAGATGCCACTTAGGGTGTGTTTTTAACGCCAAAATTAGAAGTTTGTTTAAAATTGAAACGATGTGATGAAAAAGTTGTAAGTTTGTGTATGTAGAAAAGTTTTGATGTGATGAAAAAGTTAGAAGTTTGAAGAAAAATTTTGGAACTAAACTCGGCCTTAATTTAGTGATACGTTAGCTGGTACTTAAGTATAACCGAGCCAGTCTCAACTCTCAAGCTAAAGTTAAGGCAACAGGGAGTACATGCCCAGATACCCTATATTCTAAACTTCTACTAATATTCATGATGAACCTTAATGTCAGAATCAAACATTTGATTCCTAAAAACCAACATCCCATGCATGTTTGTTCAATCAAGCGCACATTTACTTCTATTATTACTTCTACTTTTTTTTAGAGAACATGCAATTTTCATTACCCGGCTTTGCATGAAACTGAAGAAAACAAAAAGGTTTTTATACAGAAACAACAAACGGGAACTAAACAGAAATCTAACTAGACTAGTAGGATCGGCTGGGGATTCCAGCTTGCCAATACATTGCAGTAATACAGTTTGAAAACATACCCAAAATCCAGCTTCCATCTTCAGGCATCAACAAAAGCCAATCTTCAGTGCCAGCCCAAAGAGGCAGACAGCAAACATCACACATCACAAGACAGTCTATTACTGCATATTTTATCAGGTTCATTGTTCAGTTTATCAAATTAGGGCATGTTTAGATCAATTTGCTGCGGCAAATTTTTTTTGGTAAAAGTTTTGGTAGCAAAAGATTTAGCATTGAATTTTATAAGTTGGTGTTTAGATACATGGTAAAGTTTTGCCATTAATTGCTGCTGTCTCTCTCATGCACGGGCCCGATGCTTTTTTTTTTTTTGCTAAATTTGCTGCTATGGACTCCCAAATTACAAATGTCAACTTGCCTACTTTTTGCTACTAGTGTTTAGATCATTTTGCCAAAAAGTGGTCCAAAACGGCAAAACTTTTGCTATTTTGGAGGATCTAAACAGGCCCTCAGTTTGCAAACACCCCACTTACTTTGTAGGTACACGCTCCAACACCACCACAATTAATTCATATGCTGCCTTCGTTTTTTAATATAAAACATCACTGATTTTTGGCATACAGTTAACCATTTGTCATATTTAATTCTTGCTGCAAACATCTAAAAATATAAACCATGCTTAAAGAACCTAGTCACAATAAAATAAATGATAATTAAATAAACTTGTTTTAAAAAAAAAAAACATACTACAACGGCCCTAATCCAATGTACAACCAATGTACATGGGCCATGGATGTGTATGTAGGTTGTACACGTACAAGGATGTTATTTCCTTTGCCTCATATTAAGTATTTTTAGCTCATTCTATTTGTACCAAAATAAGTTCATTTTTAGAGTAATCATTGCATTGAAGTTTGTAAAAGTAGGTAATAATTGTATTGGGAGTAGTTAAAGTAAGAAAGTTATATTAAGCTTTGATAAAACAATAGTATTTTAGTTTTTTTCTTTTGTATTGGTATGTGTGAGATAGACGAAAAATAAATTTATTTTGTAACGGAGATACTCCAGTAACTATTCTTCGCTCTTGCACTTACATAAACTATCTGACCGTGGGCTCTCTCTTTCAGCGTTTCACCGAGAGCTCCGCTACTGGACCGTACTGGGCCGGATGTCCCCCAGTCACGGACAGAGCCCGTTTAATGATCATGCCCACGCATAGAACATTATCCGAGTCTCCGAGACACTGAACCGTGAACTCCCCAACATGCCTATCAACCGGCCAACCGGGAGTCCGGGACACCAGCACAACGGCACAAGGCAAACTTCCAAGGCCGCATAGTAGCTCTACTCGTGGTAGGTAGGGGTAGACAAACCATCGATCGCGCGTGCCGCGTACGTGCGGGCTTGCAGAGCTGTGCCGAAACCCGGCCGCACGGGGCACACGCCGTTCCGCAATTCGACGGCGGCGGGCTGTAGCCTGTACCCTGCAGACGAGGGCGTACGAGACGGGTTGTCCAGTTTGTCACGTCACGTAGGCCATGGCGGGCCGGCCGTGTGCCCAGGCATCTCCGCCTATGGCCGGCAGGCGGCAGGCTGGGTGGTGGACGCTAGCGCCGGTCACGCGTAGCGCGTGTGCGCGTGTGTGGGCCGCGCGCGGGCGCAACACAACGGGAACGCTTTGTTGGTGCCAGCTTTCCGGGAGGTCCCGGTTGGCAGCAGCTTGTGTGTGTTTGTACATGGGTGGGGATCGGACAAGGCCATGAGCCCATGAAGGGAGCCAGGGATCATGGATCAACCGGGGCATTACACACCAGTACAGCACACGTGTCGACCCATGGATGCAGCCTAAACATGCCTATATTTAAGATCCAGTAATCATGTTTGATCTGGGAATAGCTAGTTTGCTCCGTCAACCGGTTGATCTCCAAGCACATGTTATTTCGTTGCTGTGGCAGCCAGGTTTATCCAGGAGTGGCTGGAACGGTAAAACTAGAAGCATATCTAGTTTAGTTCCTAATTTTTTCTTCAAACTTTTAACTTTTTCATCACATCAAAATTTTCCTACACACACAAACTTCCAACTTTTCCGTCACATCGTTTCAATTTCAATCAAACTTTCAATTTTAGCGTGAACTAAACAGATAAGATTCGGTAACTTTTCACCTACGCTGGCCAAAGCTAGTTGGACTGGAGTACTCCGTATGTGCCAATGGGACATGTACATCACTGCATCAGCAACAGGCCAACAGCAAGCTGCGGCCGGTGAGCAGTGAACATGCAAATTCATCCAAGTGCGCGTGGTGCCGGCGAAGCTTCGATCCATACTAACATTCAATCCGAATTGTCTCTGCAAACAAGGTGCAAACTACTCTTCTTTGTTTCGGAACACTTGCACGGTGCAACTAGGAGTACTTAAGTTAAATCCAGGGAGATGATCAGCAACAATGACAATGCATTGATCTTTTCTTTTAAAACGCAAGTGACAAGGCAGTGGCAGTGCAACTAAACCAAGTAGCTGTACGGTGCCTTAACATCCCGGCCGACGACCAACAGGCTGAATGCCAGGTAAAACATGGTGTCTCGTCACGCGGAGTCACGAGGGGACTTGCGCATATATTCCATTGCATGATATATTGATGATTGGTGCCATTGCTCAGCCATTCGCGGCCTCAGCGCCATGAGATCATATAGATGCATTAGCTGCCGGCTGCTTGCCTGCCTGAACTACAAACATGGCAAGGCCTTTCGCATGATTCCTTAATTAAGATCAGACGAGGTTCTTTTCCACGCGCAGTTGGCAATCCTCATCATGCACAGGACGATTCCTTGTTCATGCAAATCAAACATAATATTGCCCAAATCCTAGCTAGTAGCTAGTAATTAAGAAGTGTCATCAATTATTAGTGGAGCAAACGTATGTACGACCGGTCGTTCACGAACCTACCTTGATTTCCTACGGAAGCACATGCGTGATGACTGACAATGTGATCTGCTTAAGTTCTTTCTTATGTTGCCCATGCGCCGTGAAATAAAACCATCAATTGTGTTTGTAACGTATTTTAGCTCGCTTTATAACGGGGCAGTTTATTTCACCGGATACAAACCGACTCCTCTCGTTTGTATTAAAAAAAGTTATCCATTCAAAAAGACAATCAAACAGCACGGAGAGCTAGAACACCACTTGATTACCAGCTACGTACCCTAAAAAACATATTTTGGTCCTGGCCGGGCCGAACCGGCGAAAAGCAGAATATTGTTCTAGCCTTGAGGGCCGGGGCAGCCTGTTGAATCACCAGGGATTTGCAATTATGACACTGCAAACATTAATTTTTACTATAAAGATATTAGACCCATATTTCATAGACATAAATAGACTTATTTGTCATCCACTTAAAGTGTCAAAACAGCAAAACCCCAATGTTTACCGTACTAATATTGCAATTTTCTCATGAATCACACGGCACGATCCGCGGCCGGCAGCGGCGTCCCCATCCCTCCCACGTTCCCCACCTTCGCCCAAAGGAAAGCAAAGGTACGTAACCGCACGAGGCACGTGACCCTCGCCCGCAGCTGCAGCCGCAGGCGCGCGCAGCAAGCCAAGCCACGGACTTTACAACTAGCACCGACAGCTCCACCCCGGCGCGATCGCGATCGCGACCTCTCCCGCTCCTCCGGCCCCGCACCGCACGCCACCCCACCGCGCCGCGCGCGCGACGATAGGTCGATAGCTCACGGAGCCCACCACCGCTCGCCGATCCGCCGGCACGACAGGGAGAGTGAGAGAGAGAGGAAAAGGCACGAGAGGTGTGGATATGGTCATGATCCCGGCCGCCCGGTGACCCCCCGTGCGCGCGGCTGCATTGCGTTGCGTTGCTTTCCTCTGCTTTCTATTCCATCGCCACCCCGCCACTCCCCCCCCCCCCCCCCCCGGGCCGCACAGGCCGTCACGCGCGCGCGCCCGCGGCACCGCAAAGTTGACAGCAACGCACATGCGCCCGCGCCATAGCGGTACGGGGCTCGGCACGACGACGGCTTTGGAAACATGGCGCTTGCTATACGCTTCCGGCCCCTCGCTCTGCTCACGCGCTCCGGCCGTGAATGGCGCCGGGCGCCGCGAGAGCGTGTACTCGATGGCAAAAGTGGGTCGAGGCACAAGCACTGCACAACACAAAGCGCGAGCACGTACACTGGCACACGTACAGACGTACTGACGATTGACACCGTGCACCTGGCTGACCTAACAAATTGACTCGCTTGTCAATGATGCGCACAGTTTGATTCGTACTCCCACTGTGCAAATGTGGGGAAAAAAAATGATGGTTGGACGAGGGCTAAAGACAAGCAGGTCGTACGGCTGCTATGTCGATCGACCAGTTGACATGATAGGCACCGTGCATTCGGTCAAACCCCTTGCCATTGGTCAAGCTGGTGAACACGTAGGCAAATGCTCATCACCGCACCGACAAATATCTTGGATGATGAGGATCCAATGGATGAAGCATGGCAAAACTCTTTTCATCTCTGCTCTTTTTTATTCCTTTGCACTCCTGCTTTTCTAAAGATGGATTTGATCTGACCTGCCTATTCAATTATAGTGCGCTAGAACATACTCCATCTGTCCAAATATCCAGATTCATAGTCAGGTTTGCCCTCTTGTTTTTTTTTACAGAAGGAATATATAGATTAGTCCTAAAATCTGCTTTAATAAAATTAAAAATATATTTACTATATATTATAATAGAAAATCATATTGGAAGACTACGTTATTGTCCAAAACAACCAGGGCGGAGCTAGAACGGAATGGAGGGTGGTGCCACTTGCTTAATTTACTCTACTTTATATCGAATTTAAGTTGATGCGGGTGTCTAAGTTTGTATCGAGGAAGTGCATAGGTATAGCTAAAAAGTTTTCTTGATCGGGTTCCTAGGCACCCCCCTAATATACTCTACATCCACCCTTGAAAACAACGTGAAATTATTAAACTGGAAAGAGTGTTTAAAATAAGGCAAAATTTGCTACATGACACTCAAAGTTTGTGGCATTTACTGTGAGACACCCAAAAAACATGTATTAGCTCCTAAACAATGCAAAAATGTGGTAATTAGCTGCTGGACACCCGCCTCGTTATTATATTATTTCCGGTGGAAACGGAGAGAGAAAGAGCGTTGAAAGTACCGAAATGCCCCTGGACACTATTCTTCTTCCTGCTTCTCTTCTCTTTTCTTTCTTCTCCTCTCTTTTCTTCTCTTCTCTTCTTCAGCGGCGTCGCTCTCGGGCCACCTACCGCGAGCGCTGCTCCGCCCTGCTGTGCTCGCTCCGGCCCGTGCTCCCAGGCCTCCTCGTCGCGCTCCCTCGCAGTCTCTCGCGGCGGCCCTCGGAATCGGCGATGAAGGACGTCACCGATGGGACACTGCTGCCGCTCTACCGACCGCCGTCCCGCCTAGCATCTACCCCCTCTGCCGCCCCGTTGCCGCGCTTGTCCAGGAGGCTCACCAAAGTTATTGGAAGGGATCGTCGAGGCTTGGACAGCAGCGGCTTCGGTTGGAATGGCTCGACGGCGAGGAAAAACTCCGTGTTGACGACAACGGCTCGATCTACTCGAAGAGCTGCCATGTATGCACACGGATGGTGTTATGGACGTCCTAGGGAGCTTCTATGTGCGATGGATTGAATGGTGGCTCACTGGAGCGGGTGGAATTGAATATGGAGCTCGCCGGCCGGAGTTGGAGAAGATGATGCCGATCTCCAAGCTCGCTGCACCATTGGCTAGGTTTCTTTGGGGCTTCCGAAGAGGAGGTCGTCGTGATGAAGATGGTACGGTGGCTCGGCCTTAGCTTCACCCGATCGACGGGAACGGCGATGCTGTCGCGGCGGCGATGCTCAGAGCGCGCTCCAGGGCAGCGAGGGCATGATCCGCGTTCCCGTTCAACCGCTGCATGGGATGGGACAAAATTAGATGGAACGGAGATGGCATCAAGCGAAGATTGAGGAATGCAGAAAGTAGAGGGCGATCGTGGCTCATCGGCGCTGACGGCGGTCGTCGTCTTCACCGAGGGGCATGAGTAACGGCAAGAGAGCGGCATGAGGAAGAAGAGGAAAATAGAAAGAGATGATATGTGAGATTGACAAGTGTGCCCATGGGCAAACTTGTCTTTAACCAATGTTTCTCTCTCTATTTCTACCGGAAACAATATATAATGAGGTGGGTGTCTAGCAACTAATTACCACATTTTTGCAGTGTACAGCAGCTAATACACGTTCTTTGGGTGTCTCATAGCAAATGCCACCAACTTTGAGTGTCATATAGCAAATTTTGCCTTAAAATGAAAAGTAAATTTAAGTATACGAAATATCATACATATATCTAACATTACATTTGGATACCAAGAGATATGTGTATCAGATCACCTTACACCATTTTGGTGTTTATGATACGAACTTTATATTGGTTGCCTTCTTGGTTTTATTAACAACAAATAAACCAATGATTTCATAGAGAATACAAAACCTATAGAGTTATTTACCCGATTACCGTAGGGATTCTCAAACGTACAATCTTCTTATCCTATCTCATAATCAGGCATCTAGACCCCCGTAAACATGTTTTTCCTTCTTTGCTAATGCATAACATAGTCTATAAACAAACCAAAATAGAAAGCTATCTCATATCTCATATAAAAGAAAACACTATAATGAAAATAAACTATGCTCCAAATCGATCGTCTATAAGAACTTGTCCCTTAAAAGGCATCTGCAACAATAGTATCACAAACAAGTTACTACAACGTTTCCTCAACTGTCCCCACTATTTTAAAAACAATCTAAAGATAAACATGTGATTATATAAACTAGAAACATAAAGTGTCATAGTGGATTGACAGGTTACAAACATACGGTGATTCAGATAACCATGTGTGGTTCATGATTGTTGTTAGCTAGGTGAATCCATTGTAAGGCGTCAACAATTATAATGAAGTATTTTGAAAGTGTGCACAGCTCTGCACATCTATTATCTATTATCCTGATGTGAGATACAACAAAGATATGCCTTACATATCTCTTCAATATTCATGACGCAATATTAGATGAAAAAATATTAAACAAAGTAAACTGAGTGTTACGATGATTCCATATCTGTCGTTTCGACGAGACACGCAAATCTTGTTGATATTCATGACGTGGTATTGGATGCCAACTCAAGTTGATAATCAAAGACAAATGTATTACGACTTTTGTGATTTTATCATTAAAAAGTTCTTGTCGTAAACTCTCTTGCACTATTAAAACACACAACGGTCAAATACTATAGCTATTATTAGCAAAACATAGCCAGTAATCCTATTCCCCAAATACATCTTTCTCCCTATACTAATCTCGTGAAATTTCACGTTCTCGCTGTCACAAAAGATAAAAAATAATGCAATAAAAACTAATGTAACTTAATATTAACTACTCCCCTTTCTCAAATATAAGTATGCATGTGTGCTCTTTAAAAGTAATCTCACAAATACAAACCCACTTAAAAATTCCGTACTTGCAATTAAACCTACACAAACAAGCTGCCTACGCAGGTTCATTTCATACAACACCCAACCTCCGGCCGGCCGGTTCGTCCTCCCTGTAGTCTGCAGTGCTCACCGAGTCACTGGCCCGCGGGTCGCAAGCCACAGTAGCCTGCCCCAGTGCGTACCGACGCCTCCCCCAACAGCTGGAGGAGCCGTCCGTCCTTCCTTCCTTCCTTCCTTCCTTCCGTCGCAGCCAGCATTCTTCTCCTCTCTCCTCTCACTGACCCGCCCCGCCTCCTTCTCTCGCCGCGCTCTCGTTAAGTTTCTCTCCGGAGTCTCGAACTCTCAACCACTTCCCTCCTCGTCGTCGTCCTCCTCCTCCCACTCCCCTGTCCGCGTCTCGGCTGACTCGGCGACTGACCGCGCGCCACCGCCGCTGACGGCTGAGCACGCCGCGCGCCGGCCTAACCCTGGTCAAGTGGCGACGCCGCGAGCGACGGGTTCGTCGTGGGGTGTCGCACGTGGCCTCACCCTCCCCGGTCCCTTGAATCCTCTGCCTCCGCCTCCGCCACCGCACCTACCAACCCACCTACCGCCAAATCGCGCGCTGCGACTGCGAGCGATCGAGGCGGCCTAGCCTGCGGGGGGCTGCCTGGGCGACGTGACCGGCCCGCGCTCCTCTCCGAATCCGAAGCCGCAGCGCAGAGCGCACGCCTCCTCCCCGCCGGAAGCGGAGCAGGACGCCTCGGAATCTTCGCCAGCCCGTGCTCCGGTCGGTCATCCCATCTGCTGGATTGTCGTGGAGCGGAGCGTGAGTGGAGTGGAGATCCGTCCCGACCGCTCTTCCGTGTCGGTAAGCCACACCTCCGCGACCTGCTTGGATTCGTTGCGTGCGCCTCTGATCTAGCTTGTGCGTAGTGAGCTCTGCTGTGAGCAATCTGAATCCAATTCCGTGGGGGGTGCTCCGTTTTGAATTAGCGCAAATGCGTCCATTCTGTCGCTGATTTGTTTGCTGGTTCGGTGACTTCGGCCCTTGTGCTTCACACCGCGCAAAAGATCTCTCGGCGTCCTTGTCTCGTGGCACCGTGGGATAGGATGCGAGGCGCGTGACGCGTCCATCCTGATTCTGCTCGTTTTTGGGGGCAGAAACAGCCGCTGCAGCGAGGGTGCCGGGCTATAGTTAGTTACACAATTGCGTCGTAATTTACGGAATTATTGACCGTACTTCGTTACTGTGTGCCAAGGAGCTGAGCTACTGTAGTTGTTTTATGCGTTCTACTTTTATTTTTGACTGGTGGTTTTACTAAGGTGCTCAATTCATGGATAAGGCCCTGTTAATGATCCCTTGGAATAATTGACTGCAAGTTTTGGCCGACAGCAGGCACAATGGCCACATTTACTGGGATAACAGTGGGTGGGTGGAATTGTTGGCCATGCTTGCTAACAACTTGATGTTTTTGCAACATATTTGCATGTTATCCTGGAACATTGCGATAAGGTTGAAGCGGAATCACAATTTTTCATGTTGATACGTTTGGGACTCTTATTGCCTTAAGGATGCACATCAGCTGATAAAGCGCGTATGTGATCCACTTCTGTTTAGTTTCTAATGCATCATTGTAGACCATCAAGTTGACAACTGAGCCAATGACAAAAGTTGCCCTTTCTCCTGGGAGAAACAAAGACCTCATGCAGTTCACATGCTCCCACTTTTTTCAGTTAGATGTTACTATCAAATGCTCAGTTGATTTTGAGAAAATTAAAAAGTTGTTTTTTTCTTTCTGAACTTTGCTTGTTTTACTGTATTGGTAAACGGCCTACCAGGAGTTAATTCATTTTTATTATTAAGAAAACAATGTTCTCTGTTGCTTCATTAATTTAATAGGCGACAAAATTTACTGCTGGAACTTGATTAAGGAAGCAGAGTTATAAATACATTGAAACTGTTTTTTTTTGTTTTGGAGCCGCTGATTAGTTTGGTGGTACTTTAACGAGGATGAAATAGACAAGAGAACTCTTTAGATGGACTCACTAGGAGAAGTTTATTCTAGTGGTTCATAATTTTCTGATATTTTATATTAACATCTGTTTTGTTTGACAGATACAGACTAGTTTGATCAGTGGTGGTGTTAAATACGAAGTTTTTATCATATAACATTTGGAAACATGCATAAGGGGACTCTCACGTCTTGGAAATGAGTAATTCCATTATCTGAAAAATGGACGATACACCAACTAGTTCGGGGAAATCCGAAGTGAATTCATGTGAACCGAGTTGGTGGCCACCAGACTTTTTGGCAAAGATAGAATCTGTTTCCTTATCTAGAAAACAAAGTGTATTTTCTGATAAAGAACCTCGAAGCAATTTGCGATCCTCATCATGGAAGGCTTCTCAATTACTGTGGTCAACAGGGACTTATTCAGGGTTCATCCCTAATGGTTTCTACTCAATAATTCCGGTAAGGAACTTTCTCTGAACAATTCTCTTTTGTTCCTTGGGGACATATTTTAGGAAAATAACCACCCTAGATTACCTGTGGCATGTCATAGGGCATTTTAGTTAGATGTTTGTTACTTCATGTAAGCCATGCATTTTCTGTAAAAGATGTTTAGTTCTCCAGCTAAATTGTTAACATTGGGCTTGATTTGCATATTTTATTGTTCTGGGCCTCCAGGTGTTTTTGTGGTTTTGTTTAAGTTAACAGTTTCAAAGATGGTCTATTCTACATAGTTTCCTTTCTTGCTATGTTGGGTAGATCTTGGTTAACATTTTTTGGTAGCTTAGCATTGTACACCGATTTATCATTGCCAAATCAGGAAACAGAACAAATTTATGTTTCAAGGAAAAATCTTTCAAATGCCTTAACTTCAATGAGGAAGCAAGTTCATATAGACTAGGGATCAAGGAAAGAAAAAAGAATATGCATGTTATGTTTTAGAATGGTTATCTTCTTCTCTTAATCATTAAATTCAGAGTTTTAGTGAAGTGTTGCTTTGTTTCATTTCTTTGTGAGCTTTGATATTCTCATTTTTGTTGTTATGAAGTTCTCTGTCCTGTGATGCATTCATACAGGATAAAAAGCTGAAGGAAAATTTCCCAACAATACCATCATTGGATGACCTTCAAACTCTTGAAGCAGATGGACTTAAGGCTGACATAATTATTGTGGACGTTGAGAGAGATAAGAAGCTTTTCATGTTGAAACAGCTTAGTGGCGCACTTGTGAAAGGATTAAACTCTAGTCCAGCTTTGGTGATAAAGAAAATAGCTGGCTTGGTAAGTTTTTCAGAAATTATAAAGTGGATATAGTTTTCTATTTCCCACATGTGCAATTTCCCACTATGAGCTCACCTTATGAATCATCAATGGTCAATATTATTTTAACATCTTTGGGCACTTTTGGTGCCTACAGATGTGCTGAATTTATTTGTCTTAAAACTTGCAAGTTATTCTGGAACAGGTTTTTGACTGCTTCAAGAGCCTAGATCCTGATGTAAGTCCTGCAAGATCTCCAACTGAAGATAATCATTTCTTTGGAAACAAAGGGTCACAACTTCTAGGGCAGATAAAGCATGGATCATGCCGACCCCGAGCTATCCTGTTTAAGGTTCTTGCAGATGCTGTTGGTCTTGAGAGTAAACTTGTAGTGGTATGTTGACTTCCTTTACATTCTTCTGCATATTCCATGTTCTTTATCGTAAATCAAGCATTCATGTCTTTCATAGGGTCTACCTGATGATGGTGGAGTTGGATTTGTGGATTCCTACAAACACATGTCCGTGGTTGTTTCACTGAACTCTATGGAACTGCTAGTTGATCTTATGCGATTTCCAGGGCAATTAATCCCGTTC